GGGTAGAGAGAGAGAGAGAAGAGTTCCCTGAGAGGCATCATCAGGCAGATTCCATCATCTCTTGTGTATATATATATATATATAACAATGGCTATGTGAGAGCCTCTGGGAAATTGGAGAATAGCGCCTGAAAGGAGACAAAATTGAAAGGCAAGTGAAACTACAATGTGGAGTAAGTAAAGGAATAAAGATGTGTCAAGGGTTCTTTTCATCCCTGGCTGCAAGATTTCATCCAGAGGATGTTGATAGCTAGAGGTAAGAGAAGCCATGATATGACTAATTTGAGTGGACGTGATATGAAAAATACTTAAGACATTACCTTTCATGTAAGAACAAAAAAAGAGGGAAAGGGACCAGATGGCAACAAAAAACTATTTTGATTGCTTTGAAAGGGAAGCATTACGAGCAAGATAATGAACTGCTGATATAGGACAAAGATGATGATCAGGGTTTGAATGATTGTACAGAGAAGAAAGGGAAGGGAGAGTTATTAAAGAGAACATCCAATCACTATTCCAGGCAGCCAAAGTATCGGGGAGATGGGAGTGATCTAGGATTAAAATCAATTGTCTAAAGTCTTTGAAAATTTGTTTTAAACTGATTTCAGTGAGATGTATTTATGGTTTATACAAAGAGGTCACTGTTTCAGAAGACCACTTAAAATATTAAAAAGGTACTATTTCATTTGTTGAAGTCTAAAAAATTATAACATTTATTGTAATTTTAAAAAACAGAATTAACAGAAATTGTTGAGCCTTAAAGTACAGAATGTGTTAGAAAAGTTGGCTAGGATATACAAAGATGGTTTCAAATAAATTCCTAAACCTGTTACGATGTAGCATAAAAATCTTATTTAAATGGCTTGACAGCTGCAAGCAACTCAAATGTTTTATATTTATGGATGTGGAGTGAATTACCAGAGAGAAATAATATTGAGAAGTGTACCCAGTATCCGAACTCAAAGAATATTGAATCTGATGTTTAACCTTTGATCAATTAACATTGCTAAAAAGGTTTCTTACTGAAGAGAAAAACAAGACAAGAAAATTGAGATTCTACAAGCTACTCAGACAAGTGGATGTTGTTTTTTTTTAATCATGAACAAATGTGAATTAATACAAAGAACTGCTTAAGTTAGCTGGTTATTATTTTGCTCTTCCAAATCAATGCAAGTACTCTTAGAATTTCATTCTTGATACACTGACAAGTATGCAGAACACTGATGGTTAAACACAGACTAAAAGTGAAGACTGTCAAAATTTTGTTACGAGCACAGTACAGTTTTAAAAATCTGACTTTATCAGGATTTTTTGATTATGTTACCAACAAGCCAGAATTATTATGTCAGATTTCAAGTGCTGAATGTAAAGTACCAATACAGATATAAACTGTCCACCCATTTATCAATGTATTCTAAATTGTTTTATTTGGGAAATGCTTATCTAAGTGCAGCTGTTCAAGTGATTCCAGTCATTATATTGTTTTTTGTTTTTTCACACTTCACTGTGCATGTGAAAAAAACATATTGTTGTTGTTGGTTCTTTAGAGCAAAGATAGACAATGGAATATCTGTGCTCTGTTTACTGCAGAGAATTGAAACCCAAGTTTTGGGTTTTACCAATAACCCACCAGGGGGCAAAAACATGGATTTTTTTATTTGTAAATGTGTTGTACTTTACAAAAACAGGTTGGCTCTTACTCTTTCTTTAACTGCGAGAAATCTGTTAATATTAGAGTCTCTGAAGTATTTTTTTTCTATTCTTAGGACCTTGAGTCTCTCTCTTGAACAGTGAAGTTAGATGTACTTGTGGTTTGCACAATATCAATTATAATTGTTTCAAATATTTTGTAAATAATATTGGATTATTAGAGCAGATATCAAGTCTTAAGAAGTTTGCATAAAGCAAATTGTGCTCATTTACAAAAATAACAATGTTTTTATTTATTAATATATATGTTGTAAATAATTCTCTTAATACTGTTGGTTAGGTAATTCTGGTTAAAACTTGTAATGTGTTTTCAATTTACACAATTTGTTTTTAAAATTCAAACACTAAAATATACATTCCATAAAAGTAAAACCCATAATGAATAGTTTGAATGTTTAATTCTTATCATTCTGTAAAAGTATTTCTAGCCTTTACATTGCATGGTTTTTAAATTATATAGTAAACTGTGCCAGTTTTGCTGCACCAGTGAATTAAGTTATAAACTATTCTGTGTTCCCCTATGTGAACCTGGTAAACCTAAATTTAACTTTATAAAAGTCAATCTATATAACTAGCAGTGTGGGTTATATAACGAAAAGTTCAAAATGGTATTTAATAAGGGAGTGCAAAGTTTGTTTTTAACAATTGGGTTCAGTAATATTTTAAAGTTTAAAAAACATGGTACTTTGGTAGATAACAATGGAATGTGATGTTGTTTTTTTTAGAGGAATAGTTTTGCAATCGGTAAATTATGTTACTGTTACTAGTGTTAGTGATAGCCATACAGTTTACAAAGTCAGTAAAATATAATATTCATTTCTTGATTCTTTAACTTTAAGTATAAAAACCTGAAAATCCAAATTTTACCGAATGACCAATTTAAATGGGGGAGGGGAAAATCACTCACTACCACGACACCACTGCTTACATTTCTTATCACTTATTGAGTATTAATAGTAATAATACTATTAAGTATTATAAAATACAAGTTATAATGCACACGATACGTTAGTACTCGTACTCAGTAGTAGTAATACTACACTGGTCCGTTGTACATTACTACTGTATTTGTCATTGATAGTATTAATGTACGTGCAACGTAATTATTTTTTCCATTTGTTTTATTTCTGAAAAACATTTATTAAAGTATTTTAACAAATGTGTATATGCAACAGCTTACCATTTTAACGGATCGGTATAAAGGCTTTGAATCATCCCAACAACACTGCTACCTTTCCCTTCTCGCGGCATTTTGTATACTACTGACATCTAGGACTTTTGTTTTGTTTTTTAATTTTTAGAATATGGAAATTAATATGTTTAGTATCTAGTACACTCGCGTGGTTAAAGTAAATGTGAAGTATTTCAAAGAAGCAGGCAACGAAAGAAAACAAACAATAAAAGTTTACAAATCCATAAATCTTGGCATCTCATTCAATTAAAAAAAAATCACAATTTGACCTTTAGAGGAGCATTTTGATAAACAGTCAATCCATAAAAAATAACCATATTTCTATAACATTTAAAAGATAACAAGGTGCGTGTTGGTCCATCAAGAGTGTCCTATTTACATAAAAAAGTACGAACATAAAGATCAATTTTGGCCTTTCTTTTTCACTATTTGCATCTTTAATATTTTTTCAGAAACATTTACTAAGAAGTTCAAAATTGTTCATGATGTAGAATTTTGCTAAAAATTTTAACATTGTAGTTAGTTAGTTTAACCAAGACATGAA